CCTCCGGCTTCGGGCACTCCTACTCCCTCTTTCCAGCTGTAGTCTCATATTTGGGTCCTGTGTGCCCCTATATCTTTCAGCCCATACTTGGGGACCTCTCTACTTCCCAATTCCTTCACCCCTTGATCCAGGACCCCTCATGATCCACATGGGCTCTATGGGGATCCTTTCCCATGGGTGGCTCTAGCCCTGTGTCACCCTGCACAAGTTCTCATTCTTCTAATTGGGAGTGGGTATAAAACCCTGTATGTTTTCCTCCAATTTATTATTTCTCCAGGTCATTCCCAGGACATCTAATTCTTAAACATTCAGATCCTCTTAAAAGCTGGGAGGTGCTAACCAGACAGGTATATATTTATATCGGTATCAATATAGATACAGGCCAGGATAGTGTTATATTGAGGTTGAAAAGGGATGCTGTTAACCACTGGTCTGAACTACAGGAATTTGCAACAGCACTGGCACTATACAGATGCCAGTGGTCTCACCTTCCTCAGGGCCCAGGGGGTCTGACTACAGCTGCAAGCAGGACTCAGCCATCACATGCTGGCTGCCTGAGATTCCACACAGCTTCTGTCTTATGCTTAGGTTTTGCAGACAGCCCTGCCTCTGGAGGTTGCTCCAGAGCTGCAGTCAGTATGCATGCCAGTTCTTACACTTTAACGCTAGTGCAGATGTGTTGATATCAGCTGCAGCCATAACTGGACATTAGTACAGCTGTACCTAGTGATGCCTTCTCATTGGGAAAGCTCTGAGTGACAGGAAAATAATGTCCACATCACTTAATTTGCCTCAGATTTACTACCCGGATTTTCACTGTGGTCTGAACCTGACTTCTGATCCTGCACTTGTAGTGAAATCCAGGCAGAACACACTGTGTGCAAGCTAGACAATTTTATGACGAGACCTACATATCAATAAAGTGAATTTTTGACTGTACTGACTTCCAGGCACAGAAACAGGAGGGCAAAAGGCAGAGGCTATTTCTAAAAATATGGAAGCTGTCAGTCCTCGGCAGGACTGAGAATTGGCGAGACCCCTGGTCTCTTGCTCTGACTGCCTGAGCCTGGTCAAGATGAGGTATTGCTTTCTCCTATTCAGAGCTACATTTATCAGAATCTATGTGCTCCCTTCTCTGAACAGGCCTGTAACCGTTAACATTGTCTCACTTGAGCAGTAAGTCATTCAAGCTTTACCGTGTCCAAGAACATCATCTGTAGGTAAAAGTGCTTTTCCAGGCACTGGCTTTCTATCATGAGATCCTGGCTCCAGTCCTAGCGAGATCCACTCCTCCGGAGTTCGACAGTCATACTCCTCATTGTCAAATATCTGAAAAGCCAGGGCACGAGTGAAGTTAAGTCTTACTTCAGAGAGAAGAAAACACCCCATAAAAAATTTCCTGACAGGAAAACTAATATACAGGTCCTAAATGGGCTACAAAAATGGAAAACAGTCCCAGTGCAAAAGCTGTGCTCATCTTTAATCAATCTTCTCCCAAACAACAATATCTGTACCTCTAGCCCCTTCCTAGGGAGCACAGACCCAAGGAAAGACCCTTGCCACCTGGAAAGATCTCATGCAATATTACTGCTGACTACTGCATTTGGAAGGAAACATGAAACAACACTTTTTCTTTGACACACAAACGGCAGTGTGGAGCACTCTCAAGAACTATTAGTTCTGATGGAAGTTGTGGGCCCCTTGCAGAAGATGCTCAGCATCTTGTGGAGAATCTTCAGGGCTCAAGCCTGCTCTAAAGCATTTCCTTGTTCTATTGCCTGTTGTATCAATAATGGCCAAGTGTCCTGCAATTGTCTGAACCATCCTGTGGTTCATAGGCAATGAGATAGATCATAAGTGCCAAACACACTCTCTTACCTTTAACGGGAGATAGATGGGAAAGAGAAGATCTTTCTTATCCTCAATTGTTGGCATATTGTCAGGATCATGGTGCCTTGGCATGAGCTGATTGGAGTCTATCCCCTTGCTGGCCAAAAGCTGTGCAATATCAAAGGTGAGATATAGCCGTCTCCTCCTGTTTTGAATCGGATGGGGAAATAACCACTTAATGCACCAAGAAAGGCTCTTGTGCTACAACTCCACTTTTGGATGATGTACCCCTATCAGTAAAGAAGTTTTTGAGCACATAGAGCTGCATACATGTCTATTTCTACATTCATTTATAGAACAAATACCTACAATGATCGCCTAGTCCAATTTATAAATTATATACACATATATGCACTAACATATTATGCTAATATTTATATTCTAGAGCATACACCAAAATAGAAATTAAAAACTGTGAGAAAAAGATGAAATAAACACTCTTTTAACATATATTTTCTTCCTGCATCCCAATGAATTGTCTTGTGCACCTCATGCAATGCACATCCCCCACTTTGGAGACCACTGCCTTACTGGATAGTATCTTCCTAAAGATTTTTGACATGTCAAGTCTTGAAAGCAGAAATCAACACCCTAATCTGCTGTGTCCATTCCATAATGATGTCTCTAGCCACTTTCCGGTTACCTACCTCTCTATTTCAATCCTCCGAGGGCACTGCCCTGGAAGCACTTGGTAAGGAACCTGCACTTTGGGGTTAAATGATTGTACTGGGAAATCTGACTTGGTGAGGTTCTCGGTGGTTGGTCTCATCACTTGCTTATCCAGCACACTTTCAAGGTCCTCAGGCATCCTGAAGGTTGTGACTAAGAGACAGAGAAACATACATCTGAAACCAGTAGACATTACTCTGCTTTACATTCACACACATGGGAGAACTGTGCTATCTCCTGGGTTGTCTGCAGAAGTCATTTCACTAAGTTCATGACAGAAATCAAGCAGACATCAAAAGGGAAACAGAAACGAAGACCTTTTTTTCCTGCTACAACATATCCTTATGGTTTTCCAGTGTCAAAATGATGGCACAGAAGAAGCCTCCACTGAGAATTACTGTGATGCACCTTCTTAGTAGTTAGAGCACTGACCTGGCTCTAAGGAGCTCTGTTCTCTCCCCAGATTTGCTACAGACTCTACAAGATTGTGGGCAAGTTACTGTCTCTAGTGCACGGCTTCCCTCCCTCTCAGAAAGGGGTGGGATTCCCCATGTACCCTGAGGGACCCTGAGACCAGTCATAGCTGGGAGGAACTCAATTAAAATGGTGGTAAAGGAATGTTACAGGAGAGAACAAGCGGCTCAGGTCATCTTTAGGTGCTGAAGTCCCTATTCACACCTTACTTCGGACAAACCTCTCAGTTTCTGCTCAAGCAAACCTCCCACTCACATCTGCAGTGGTGTGAGAAAAAACTGAGTTGAACAGCCACCAATCTCACGATTCGGCCAAATGTTTTCAATGGAAATTTGGACTAAGCAGTAAGTATACATTTCCAAGAGTTGGCTGAAATTAAACCATGTCATTTACCCCATAAATAAACCAAACTGTTCATATTGCTAAACAAGCTGCAAATAATAGAACAGCAGCAAACTGGGAATTTGAAGCTTAACCTAAATTAAGTAATTGCATGCAAGCTTTAAAAAGCGCTATTCCCTAGACAGAGCTAAGCATTGACCTAAAAATAGATTTTAGTGGAGAGCTTTCCATTTGATGAACTTTCACACTCTACCGAGGATAAACTTAAGGTTTTGGCTTGTAAGTAGGTTTTTTGGAGGTCAAGCTTTGGACCCAATCCTTCACCTTGCTCCATGTGCTTCTGCTTGCATGATGCAACCCCTTGATTTCGAAGTAGTTGTGCAGAGCAGCCAATAATGCTGAAGCCAGACACATTTCAGGATGATCAGGTACAGAAAGGGTCCTCTAAGAGGTCATTCCCTTACCCTTCTAAATGGTCCCTGACTCAACCCTTGTAGCTGTACATTGTCTGCTTAGGGAGTAAAGGAAATGGCCTCTGAACTGGCTCCTCTCTACTCATCTCTCTTAAGAAGGGTGCCTATCCTGCAACAAACATGATACAAAGATTTGCATTGTCCATCTCGACATGCACCATTTACAATAAGGTCAAGGAATCCCTAAAATGCAGGTCCTTATCCTGATGCATATCTCTTGCTTAGGATCTTCACAGAAAGACCCTGATTAATATTTGTTGTCAGGGAGCACAGCTGTTCCAATTTTGTCACCTCACTGTTGCAAAATCCATGGCCCCATCCATTATGGCCCTTTGTGCACTATCAACTATTTATGTCAATACTTAATGTTTCATTTGCATTTATATTTCAGCTTGATAGCTTCTTCCCCCTTGAAGGAGCAGCAGATCATAAATAGAGATCTGTCTCCACTTGTTAGGGATGAGTCTAGCTTGTCAAGATTCACTTGAGGATGCAGTCATTTGTCCTCACTCATGAAAACAAATGTCACTTCCATGCACAGGAAGGTGGTATATATATTTACCATCTTTCTCTAAGACTAAAATCCTCTCACATGTATGCTTTCTCTCCACCTGCTGCCAGCCTGTGATCCATATCCCCAAGAGTATTCTAGGGGCCAGGTGAGTGCTGGCAAACCTTTCTTTTCCTAGATTTGAGCATCCATGGTACAAGCTCTTCTAAGCAGGTGGGACCAGCAGCTCTGTAAACACAAAGACCCCTTGCATCTAGGGAGAACAACCTGTTCTGGGGTGCAATTGGAAGCAGAATGAATAAACTAGAGAGTACCATGATTTTGGCTATGGGCATCTAGACTCTGAATATAGCTCTCACACGCATGATAACAGGAAAGGGGCACTGATGGCTCCATATGCAATGACAACACATAGAAATTGAGTGCTCTCCTGGCGTACAGCCCATAAGACCATAACTCCCATAGGCAGTAACATGGTGCACCCTGAACCCTGGGGGAAGTGGATACATGCAGAAGAAAAGCAAGCACGGCTTTACCACCCACTCAGATCACTTTGCTCCATGTCTAATTTCACTTTTCACAGACATTCAAGCAGTAAAGTACCATCCCTGGGCACTGAGACGAGAAGGAAAGCACAGCACTAACTTAGAGTCATCAGCTTAGTTCCCAGCATGCTCACTATGACCAGCCTTAAGAGTTATGGCCCCATTTTCTGCCACATCACATTTCCTCTCAGTATATTTACCTTTAGGGGTGTGCTGCTCAAGATCCGCCTCTTTTAGCAAAGCGTGGTACATTTGGGGGCCAGCACAAATATCCTGAAATGCAGCATGTGAGAGAAGTGTCAGAGATAACAAATCACAGTGGGAAGGTGGGTTAGAGAGGTCCAGAGGAAAAGTGAGACTGTAAAATTGACTTTACCACAGCTTTAGGGATAATTGAGAGACTGCAAGTAATGGTCTAAAAAGGCTTGAAGAGATGCAAATAGCTGAAACTTCAGCCCAATGCACAGAGAGGTGGGGGATTTGTCAGCAGAGCACAGCCTGATGTCAGCTTAAGATGTGGACTGGGGGCAGGCAGTCATTAGGGTTTTACTTCCAAATATCTGCAGTTACAACCACATGCCTATCCTACCATGCTAGCATCGTAAACCTCGGCAAGATCATGACAGCAATAGCACAGACCACTGAGGAAGGCAGCACAACTATTAACAGGAAGAGCCTTATGGCGTCACTTTGTAAGAGTCAAGGCTTTGCACAAAGGTCTCTGACCAAAACGAAGGGCAAGGACCTGGGGTGAAAGCTGTATTTCTCTATACCAGGTGTGCCATAGGTCTTTCCACTTTAGAAGGACAGGGGTAGAAAAAGAATTGCTCTTTGCACTTACGCTTGAGATGTTGGAGGCTCCTGGAGTGAGGACATCAGCAGAAAACACCTTTTGTCTAAACGCTAAGTATTTTCTTGGCCCCTGTTTGCAGCTATCAGAAAGCAACAAACTTGTTCCTGGACTGCAGTCAAGGCATGAAGCCTTACTGTTGGTATTGGGAGGCCTGGGGCTTCCACCCAGAGGATTCATCAAATCCTTCTTTGCTTTATGCATCTTCTTTGGACAACAATGCTGTGATGCAACCCTGGGCTTGCTAGAGCGGAAAACATTAAAGGCCTGTTAAACACTGTAACTTTGGCACTCCCACATCCTCCCACCACACTGGGGATAGTTGACTTGCTAAGATGAGTGGGTAACAAGGCAAGTCTGATCCCCTGCTTCAATACCAAGCTTTGCCTTCATAACCCAGGGTCCATTGGACACACGTCACTGACTCAATGATTCACTAACCGTGGGGAGAGTGTTTTGCTATTCCAGATGGACTTTGGAGGGGGAAAACCAGCAGTATACACATGAAAAGCTACTTTCCTGAAGCAGCAGGGGCTTCCTGGATCTGTGGCAGCATTCAAAAGGCTGCCAGGAGAATCTGAGTAAACTGGGACTACAAGAGAAATGCTTTTGCTGTACCCAAATCCCTTAAAAACCTTGTCACACTTGACTCCAGTGGGAGTAGGCTACAGCCTAGATACCAACACAGCTACTCCCAGGTTTAAAGTCTGACGCTTTCATTTAAATAACTCAGGAGAGGTGTTTAAGCATCGCCTAACGAATATTAAAATATAGCCAGAAGGTCCCCTTTCTCCTCCTGCAGGGGATATTTTTGCTGGTGATCACAGCTCTTCCCCCATGGGAGAAGCAAGTCCAGGCAAATACCACAGCTCTATGGCTTGATTTTAGAAAAGCCTTCATGTGTTGAGAGAAACTAATTAACAGCAGCCCTTGGACTTCTGGCATGACAATAGTGTTACCCCTGATTTTAGGCTTGTCTAAACAGAGAGATGACTACTGTAAGTAATTAGTACAGCTCAAGTGCCACAAGCCCCTCTAGCCTCCACATACACGTGCCGATATAATGATGTACACATACCTGCCTAGCTTAGTCCTATAAATCATGAGTCAAAGCTCTCCTTGGGGCCTTTCAAGGCTACTCCAGGTGTGACACAGTTTATTCATCAGTTCCTGCTCAGGGGTAGGCCCAGGCTCCTCATCCAGCCCTACCTAACAGTTTGTGTCCTCCACCCTTGCTGGGACCCACACATCTGCCTCACTTACTTCTGGAGGCCAACCCCCCCACAGCAGGCTGCCATGTGGTAGTCTTCCAGCTTGCCACAGCAAAGCACTAGAGAGACTTTGCCTGGTCTTGCAGGCTACAGCTGGCACAGTACCTGTGTGGAGTCTCATCCTGAAGTGGAGACACTACCACAGTGTCCCCTCCTGCCATGCCCTCTCTGCTCTGCTCCTGAATGGAGTGAAACTCTGCCTGTCCTATACTCTTGATCAGAGAGGGCAATTCTTTCTCAATTTCACCTTGTTGCCTGTCTGCAAGAATGAACCAGGTACACACAGCAGAGAAAGCATTACATGCATGCTGAAGATAAGAGGGAATAACTGTGCTGGTTTATTGCTGCAGGTTCAAGCCAGCACACAATTTTGAGAGGTTGAATCAAAAAAGAAATCAGATAATAAATCACAGTTACCATGATGCGAATCCTTTAAGTGAAACAGAGTAAACGAACAGACTGGAGAGACCTGGGAGACAAGATCAATACTACCCCCTCCCCTCCTTCAAGCTAGAAAATCTCAACTCGTTCTCCTCTCAGCTTCTCTTTGGCATGGCAACTGGAACCTTACACCCTGAAGAATGGATTTGCCATGGAGGATTTTGTTTTTATTAGCTATTTTATGCTCTGGCCATATCTATTTTAGCAGCCCAGCAGGATTGATTGGTATCAGCCAAGATCCAAGGATTCCTGATGAATCACTGCTGGACTCTTATGTGCCTGCTGCACTGGCACAGAGAACAGCATCAAGGCAGTACAACCCTGCGGTGACTCTCCTGATATGTCACCTGAGCATCCTCTTCCTAGGAGCAGGGCTGATGTGGCAATGGGACCAACTGTACTTTTACCTCCTGGACCAGAATTCTAAATCCATCCAACTCAAAAAAGCTACCTCCAGGACCTAAAGTTCATATGAACCTTTAGTAGGGTGAGTGATTGAGACCACTCCCAATTTAGCAGCACTGGCAATCTCTGCCTAGAACTAAAATACCGTGGCTGCTACTGACGGCCAAGCTCCTGTGATGGGGGAAGTGTGTACCCAGCCTGCCCACAGCAGGCCTAATTCTTCAATGCTCTGCTCCCTGTGTGCTCACTCACACCTCCGTAAAGTCCTTCCTAAGCACTTATCTCAAAATAAAACAAACCCCTACTCAGTGTCCAGCTCAAAAACTTCCATCTGTCACGATCTCCCAGCTGCACAGAGGAAGGTCTGGTATTTGTAACTGCAAAAAAATTTGACACACACCACCTAAAATAAATAAAGAAAACAGGCCTCCAAACTTTTGCCAGCAATTCCCCAGACAGACAAGTAAAGCAGCTTGTCTGAGCATGCTAAAGCTGATCTAGAGATGGAAGAACTGCTAAACACAAAGGGAATCCTACTCTCCTGCCACCCCAGCTGCTGGGCTGTGGCCAGGAGGTTTCCCAGAGCACAGCGAGAAGCTTGCTCTGGTGTCAGGTGGGTGGTTAGGTGGTCCCATCTGGTTCTCAGGAACTGCCTCCAGGTAGGTTTAAATAGTAAGATTACTCTTTCTTTTATTCAACCTAGTTACTGAGCCAAGGAGTTTACTGCACGGTAATACACTCTTCTCCAGCCTCAAATTCCACCAACACCACCTCCTGCCTTCCCACTCCCCCGAAACAATGAGCAGTGTCCAGACTCGAGGGCTGTCCTCCCCATCCTCCATTTAGGGTGACCCCAGACCCTCATCCATGGGCAGCAGAGCTTGGTGTGGATTGCCAAGGCTATTGCTGCTTGGGGAGGGGAACACCTCCCATCTTGCAGTGAGCACACAACAGCAGCTTTCAGCCAGCTCTACTAGAGCAACTGCTGACAGTGTGGAGCAGCTCATGCTTGAGGATTACTTCACTGCCTGAAGAAAAGCAGAAAAACTGACCAGTGCCCTGTCAGTGTCACACTCTGGGCAGGAAGCTGGCTGCATGCCATAAAATCACAGAATGATTAGGGTTGGAAGGGACCTTAAGATCATCTAGTTCCAACTCCCCTGCCATGGGCAGGGACACCTCACACTAAACCATGTAGCTCAAGGCTCTGTCCAACCTGGCCTTGAACACTGACAGGAATGGAGGATTCACCACTTCTTTGGGCAGCCTGTGCCAGTGCCTCAGCACCCTCACTGTAAAGTACTTCTTCCTTATATGTAACCTGAACTTCCATTGTTTAAGTTTAAACCATGTTTGCAGCCTTCAGTCCCTTCCTATTCAGAGCACTTTCCTCAGGGCAGGAGCTCCCCTTTTACAAGTAGAGGGTTAAAGGTGGGGAAAAAGGACTTCAGGTCATTGCAAGAAGAGAAGGTATCTCCCTGAAAGCAGATCCTCTGCCCACCTCAATAATTCTTTGCTCTCTGCTGCCCCTGTGCACCTGGAAGCATCTTCCCCCTCTTCAACATCTGCCTGGCACCAGCCATCTCAGTTTTAGCTATAATAAGCTTTGAAGATCTCTTCGTGACTGCTGAAACACATATCTTTCCAGCAGTTCAGACATGCTCTCTCACACCTGAAAAGCATGTTTCCTAGATATACCAGGTACGTTGTACTACACTAAATTGAACTACTCAAAATGAAAGTGCATTGTAATGGCACTGCTGACACAACATTAGCTACAGCGTCTGTGTGTCATCATCGCAAAACTATAATTACAATTTCTTGGTAAATTCAGGCTTTACATATCCAAGAAGTCAAACTCCCACACGTCTTGCTCAATGTCTGCTACGAGCTTTTTGATCTGTTGCCTGTACTTCAATTCTTTGATCCAAAGCTAACAAAATGGGCTCTATTCTTTCAAATAATGTTTTAAAGGGCTAAAATTGCAACAGAAAAAAAGTACTTTAAAAATAATCTACCCCCTAAACAAAACTGCAGATTGAAATCTAGTAGTCATTTATCTGAAATTATTTATCTGTGAAGCCAGAAACCCAACTACTGCACTATGTGTGCACCAACATGCAAAAATTCTTTCTTCCTATAATTTAAGCCATGTAATCTCAGACAAGGTGATGTGCTCTCCACAAAGTGCTTTAAACATTATCCTGTACTTCAAATCTTTTCTACTTTAAAAAGGGAGTTGAAAGTAATTTCGAGTTTTATAGCAGCCCATTCCCTCCAAGAATCCGTGTGGTTCCAAAATTTATTTTCCTCTGGGTTTTTAAATGCATTCCTTTCTCCACGGGAAAGCACCACACAACCTCCACTAAAACCTGAGGACACGGGGGAGAACAGCAAGACTGATGGCGAGTGGTGCTGTTTGCTACACAGAGCTCCTTAATGACAAGGATACACCACACATTTTGAGGTTACAGCCATGGCGGGTGTTACGAGACACCACACAAAGTATTTAGACCATGACTCCAACAACGTTTGTTTCATTTCTGAAGCACAACAACCTCTGTCGCTACAGGGGTGCAACCCAAGGGCAGCCACACGCTAACTGTGGAGATGGGATAGCGTAAGGCACCCACGCCCCACTTCTCACAGCCTGAGGAATCCAAACCCTACCCATTCCCACTGTCTTGTAAAGCACGAAGGGGACTCACACCCCCCTCACCGACACCGGCGTGTCCGCCCGGCCGCCCAACCGCCCACCCC